ACAGCAAAGATGACTTTTGCATCTGCATGCAGTACCTGCCTTGGTGATAAGTTGTTAAGTGCCAGCGAATAAGTGCATGTATGCATGAATGCAGAAGAGCGTTTTAGGAGGCATGGTGTTCAATAAGGTCAGCTGCTATGGAGAAGAATGAAGGGGAAAGCGATTGGGTTTTGTAGTAAGGCAGGTGTTGGTGACCTTTGAACTGCTTGCTTCAACAGAGTGATGGGCAGGAAGCCCAGATTGTTGGGCGTTAGGGACTTCCAACACGATGAAGACTTGCACGTTTCCAGAGTTGCTTATTGACTGTTTATCTGAACGTGTGGTAGAAACAGAAGTTCTTGGGAGAAATAACTAAGTGACCTTAGGCCAGTTACTGACCCTCATGGAACCTGTGATCTCCGAATAGGCAGTAATACCTTGTGTTTTAAGTTTTTTAAAGGATTAAACGAGATTATTGTAGCCCTTTAGAATGATGCCTAATATTTAGTTAGTACTTAAATGGCCATTTCCTTTATTCCCCTTCCCCATACAACAGTAATTTTTATTTATTAATGTTGTTGATGGCATCCAGCACCCTTTGCAAATTTGTATGAGATATGAATTGTTCAGGGTACCCTCATTCCAGTCGCTGGAGAAATTGCGAATTGCATTTGGCCGGGAACTAACATACCTTGTTGAACCACTGACAGCTCCTTTGAAATACATGTTATCTAGCTGGAAGGACACCCCAAAAAGGTAGTTGTCTTAGTTAAGGCTCTTTTAGATACAAATTACAGAATCCTACCTCAAGCAGACATAGAAAGAGAGAAGGGGAGAGAGAGTTTTCTTGACTCGTGTAACTGAAAATTCTGGGAGGGTCGCACCCTCAGGCACTGCCATATCTGTATCTTCTGGATCAAACAACATTGTCAGTCCTCAGTCTTTCTCAGACCATCCTGTGGCTCAACTGTCCTCCATGTGACTCTCATTCCCAAGCATATTTGTCAGCTACAAATTTCAAGAAGAGGGAAGAACTCCCTAGTATTTCTAACTGAAAACCTGGATTCAATATCACTCTTTAGACTTAGGTCCCTTGCCCATTCTTCTCTGCTTTCTTTTTTTTTTTGTTTGCGGTACGCGGGCCTCTCACTGTTGTGGCCTCTCCCGTGGCGGAGCACAGGCTCCGGACGCTCAGGCTCAGCGGCCATGGCTCACGGGCCCAGCCGCTCCGCAGCATGTGGGATCTTCCCAGACCGGGGCACGAACCCGCGTCCCCCGCCTCAGCAGGCAGACTCTCAACCACTGCGCCACCAGGGAAGCCCCACTTGCGCATTCTTAAACTGGTTGTTTTGGCCAAGGAACTGGGAGGTACTGGTTTTCCAGGCCTGGCTTCAGGAATATTCTGTTCTATGAAATAAGTGGTACTGAGTGTAGGAGAAAAGGGGTTCCCTGAAGGGAAATCCAGTTTCTGTTCCCAGAATGAAGGGGAGGCACGGCAGGCGAAACAATTGATATCATATTATTGTATAGACAAGTGCTTTTCAAATTGTGCTTCTGGGAACTCTAGGGGTCCCACTGAGATGCTTAAACAGGAGGAAGGGAAGAAGAGAGTAACGTGTGGTGGGAAGTTGTCAAATTCATGCTCACTCGAGCTTTATTAAGAGTAGCTTCACTTTCATATATTTTTATACCCAATTTCTGGCTAAGATTTCATTTGAAAGTGGAATTTTGGCAATACCATTGATATAGGACAAGTTTAGCAGATGGTTAGGTCCGTAGCTCATAAAGGTAGATGACCATCATTTTCCCACTCCATCCTGCTGA